GAGCGCTCGGAAGTGCCCCGGGCGGGTCCTGGCGCGGCCACCCGCGCATCTAAAGCAGCTGCCGAGCAAGGGTTTCCGACGCCTCGAAATCCCCGACAGCGAGCGCCCCGCACGCGGCCGTGGCAGGGGGAGGCCGGGCTCGGGCTCGCTCCTTGCTTCGGGGCCCGGGGAGCTGGGCTGGGAAACCAGCGCCGCGCCGCTCGGCGCTGTCAGGAGCATCTCGCGCCGGCGCGGGGCGGCGCGGGGCGGGGGTCGCACGCACACCTCACTGGCCGCTCGGCGGCTGGCTCCAGCCGTCTCCCCCCAAGCAGACCCTGGTCCCTTTTTCTAGGGCCTTCTTCTGCCTTCAGTCTCGATCGGGATCATCACGGGACCAGCCTTTATGCCAGCGCGGGACCCCGTTTCCTCGTCCCGTCTCCCTGCCGGATCGAGGGAGGCTGACCCAGCCCTTCCTTCGTCCCTGAAACCTGCCCGTCTTCATTCCTGTACATACCCCTCGAAGCGCCCTTTCCTCTCCCCGCCAGTAAGCAGGAGCTGGAGAAGGAAACCCCCCAGTGAAGGTGGAGACCCGGAGCCTTCTTCCGCCGGCTCAGCCGCTGTTTGTCCGCGACTGCTAAGGGCCGCTGGCCCGGCTGCCTCCCGGACAAACCCCGCGCTCAGGGCGAGGCAGAGCCGCCTGCGGCGCTTCAGCCCAGGCCGGAGCCCCCGCGGGGCTGGGCGCGGGCGCCGGGAGCCGGGAGCCGGAGGGGAGCAGGGCTGGAAGGGCTCTTCGGCCTCCTGGGCAGGCTTTGCTGCGGGGATCGGCGGGGGCGGGGGCTGCAGAGGGGACTCGGGATCGAGCCTTGCCTCCCCAGCACCCAGACACTCCTGTTTCGTTGCGAAGCCCGGGTTTAACCCCCCTCCCGCCTAGGAGAGCTAAAGAGGCGGCTGGGCCCGATCCGGCTGCTCCTCCAGGGCTGGGCCCCAGCCGCCCCCCGGCCTTCCCCACTGCCTCCCACCCAAGGCCCTGGAACCGAAGGGGGCAGGATCTCGCCGCTTTTTGCCCCCCACCGATGTAACCTGGAAGAGTGCGGGCTGCGGGGTGTG